TCCTATTGCTTGTTGCTTGGGAGACTGACCCCCACATAACTACAACCTCCTTTCAGGTATCTGTAGAGAGTGACACGGTCCCCCCTGAGCCTCTTCCTCTCCAGATTGAACACACCAGTACCCACAGCCGTTCCTCATAAGACTTATGCTCTAGGCCTTTCACCAGCTTTGTTACCCTTCTCTGGACTGGCTCCAGAACCTCAATGTCTCTCTTGCCGTGAAGGGCTGAGAACTGAACACAGTACTAGAAGTGCAGCCTCACCAGTGCTGTGTACAGGAGGATGAGCACTGCCCTGGCCCTGCTGCCCATGCTATTTCTGATATGCTACCATATTCATTCTCTGCAATAGCCAGAGATGAAAACAGAGTCAATCTAAGTTCTGTCTGTACATCTCAAGTGGCGGGAGCTCTGTTTCTTTGGCGAACATATGCCTTAATACTCATTTAAGATCTTTAAAGTCAAATGCAGGACTAAGTAGCTGTCACTACCACTGTTGAGAGACATCTGGCTGAATGTTACGAGACACGTATATATATATATTGTGTGTGAACATGTGCATGCATTCATAAAACATGTGCATGCATTTACACATGCATTTATGTAAGTTTGTAGGGAGGGACCTGCCATGTAGTTGAACTTGGCTCTCTGAACACACAGTGGTTCTCAGATGAACTGTGATTTAATAATTCCTAAAACTTAAAAATCTGTCTCTGTGTTTGCTTTTATCAAGAATGGGAAAATCTAATAGGCAAGTGCTAGTCTGCCTACATCCAGTTTGTGCACCCAAGTAACTAGCTTGGGAAAATTAAACCTTTATCATTTAATATCCTACTGACATGTATTTACAATCCACTGAGTGTTGACTTACATCTTTGTGTGCTGAAAGGCCCAGATAAACCCGCACTGCTCCTACACTTTATGTCTCATAATGCTGTTTCTTGAATGCAACTTATATTGGACATCTCAAATTTGCAAATCTTGGAAAATTGGGAGGTTCTGTGGAAACTGTTTTCTGGAAGCAATTTGAGGAAAAAACCTGTGAGATAGGAGAAATTTCTACATGTGAGGAACAAGACAGATATGGGTGCACAGATGGTGACTGACAATACCATATTCTCTGGAAGGCTTATTAGTGTAGCCTCAGTGCCCTGTTAACACAGGTATGCTGGACTTGAGCTGACTTATACTGGACATCTCAGAGAGAACTGGCAAGTGGTCTCACCCATTTGTGCCATCATACTTAAAGAGGGAGGGAAATTGTATGTGATAAAACAGAGGAAAGGAAGCAACAATTACATATATATATATATATATATATATATTAAAAAAAAAAGCTTACCACCATGACTTTGAGCTTTTCCCTTTTCCTTTTGTAAGGACTCTTTCCACTCATCGCTAGCATTTCCACTCATAATTAGCAGCCTCCATAGAGCCATAGAAAAAGTGGCTATGCTAGTAGGAGATAAATCCTGAGAATCCCTAGCAGGGGGAGACTGCCACAAGGGTTGGTAGGACCTCGGGAAGGGCTGGGGGAACACAGCCCTCGGTGTTGGGTTACTCAGCCCTGGTGTTCGGGAGAAGGCAGGAGTTTGCATACATGTAGGGGATCCACTTCTTCTGCAGAACTCTTGAGAATCATTTTATTCAGGGCTACTGCACAGAAATAAAATAGTTTATCATTTGGGCTTGGAATAAAATGAGACAGCAAGATTATCATCCTGTCTGTCTGCCTTTCTCTGTACAAAAGGAACTGGAGGGGCATTTTCCCCTGTTCAGAAAACCTGGCACTCATTTTATGTTGAGGCAGTGCTTGGGCAAGCTTGGCAGATTCACAGCATTTTGAAACAGAGCTAGCATTCTTAAGGCTGCCGGCTGCCCAGAACAGAGGTGAATATTCCACCCTTCTCGTTTGGAATGAAGCTGGGAAGTCCCCAGCTTCCTCCAAACCATTGAAAGGAAAACAAAGAAAGGCCATGAACATCTTATGAATGAAATTACATATTAATACCTAATTTCTAACCACAGCTATTCATCCACATAGTTCAATGATTTTAGCAGTAGGCACATAGTATTATTGCATTTCATTTACATGACCACTTTACTAGTGGGGAAACTGCGGCAGGGAGCAGTTCATGTTTGTTTAACATATCCATAACGTTGCAGAATTTGGAGGAAGATCCAGGTCACTGAAGTCCAAGCCTGTTACTCCAGACACAATCTAACATACAAGAAACTTGTGGGACTCACTTCAATAAGTTACCGTGCCAAGACCTCCACAGTTCTCCCTCAAAATAGACATTTTTAGGAACATCAAATTTAATTTAAAACATTTTTATTAAAATAAATAATATGGCTGTCTCCTCCACCCATCCACATCACACATTGCAGAAACCTAATCAGTCCCAGGTATCTGGGGTTATGGACAGATTTCCCTTTGCTGAATCAGTTAGTTGCACTCCTCAGTACTTTGTGTTCTGCCTTGCCCTCTAAAACTGTAAATGAATTGGTTGATACAGTAGAGGTGCATCTGTTTTTTTTTTTAATAAAGTGTAATAATTTATTGTCTGAAGCCAAAATAAACTGGTATTAACATTACAGTTAAAAAGACTTAACCGATGTATCGTTAGCCTGCAGGGACATACAACAAAGAGTTTTCTATACAACCTATATATATATAATACAAAGCTCTAGTAAAATATTTTCCTCTCAGACTTTTGCAAAGTGACATAGTGTAATTTTCACTTAAATTTAAATTACATTCAAAATTACAGTGGTGATCTCCAATGACACATCACCAAGATAGAACAGCCTGAGGCAGGAGCAGCTCCAATAAATTTGGCCTTTTGGGAGAGTTACACCAGAGGACATTTCAAGACGAGGTGCCACGTTTGACTGCACTTTGGCTGAGTACCTCTGACTTTTCAGCAAGTTTACTGGTGTTTTCAGAAGAGATGGGTGTAATGGGTGTGTCGGAGATTTGCAAGCCAAACCTTACCTGGAAAAATGAACCTCACTTCTGTTGACAAATGTATCATAACTTGAGAATACAGACCTATGCAGTTTAATGCATTTTTATTTTTGATTTCTTTTTATTTATCTTTATTAAAATTATTTTTACTGTTTTTGTTAAAATAATTTAAAATTTATTTTATTTATTAATACTGAATAATTTTAAAAGAAAGGCAAATATGGAACATTAGTTTCCAAAAATCAAGCTTTTGTTTCAGGAGGGAAGTATGACTGCCTGGTGTTTGGAACAGACAAGAGAGCACTCTCCTCCCGCTCCAGCCCTCCCATGGACTCACTGTAATGCCTTTATAGCACATTTGACATGCCCTGACAATCAGCCTACATTAGAGAAGTGCTTAGAGATCTTCAAATGAAGAAAAGTTCATAACTAAAATGCATTTACTGTAATGAAGCCCCTCTGCATGCCACAGCTGATCTCTACTATAAGTGTAATTGCACCGAATGTTGCCGAGTATGTTTTCATTCTTCTTCTGCATATGTTCAATATAATTTTCTGAGTAAAACAAACATCTGTGCACAGTTGTGGAGGTGGGATTTTATACTGCTTACAGTGGGTGACCTTCATGTTTTGGATTTGCCTACCGGTTTTACAAAACATAAGCGAAGTTACAACCCAAGCTCACACTCTGACCTTTTAAAATTTACTTTTAAAAATAGAGGTTATCTTTTGTACTGCAAATTATGCCTTTATCTCTTATAATCCCATAAGTCAGATATCACAGTCCCACTTCAATTATGCTAAACTCTTATGTTAATTTTAAATCATGTAACTTAATTCCTGGCAAAGCAGGCTGGTGATTTTCAAAATGTGGTTAATGAGGCAAAGTACAATCTAGATTCTGCTACTGAGATCATCTGAATCCCTAGGTAGCTGAAGATGACTATGGAGAGGCTCTTCTTTACAAAAGTCTGGGTTAGATGTAAAAGAAATGAATTTTTAAGTGCAGTTAGGGCCTATGAAATTTGAAGTTGAGCATACAAAGAAGTTAAATTACTTTCACTAGAGCCATAGAACAACAGTGCGGCTAAACCAATTATGCTTCTGTGCACATACATGCTTATGTAGTGTCCTCTCTTTTTAAATCACAAATGCAAACCATACCAGATTTTCAAGATGAGAGTCCAGGCACCTGATGTCTATGTCCACAGATGCATACAAATCAATGTGATTTCCCCTCTCATTTACAGAAGCCAAAATTTTGCCAATAACTTCTTTCGCTCTCCTTCCCTCACTGTAACAATAGCTTTATCTAAGATCAATTGGTAGATGAAATCTTATGAGCCTGTATAGCTTTTCCAATACAATTATGTTCCCTCCATTCCTGAATCTCTATTATTCCCTGACCACATAGGCTGAAAGTTTGTCACTAATGCAAGTTCAAGGTGAAGGCTAAGTTCTTCAGAAAATTTGCTATTTACTAATATTTATTTGTCTGCATTTAAGAATTCGCATGAAACTCATATATAAATTGGCCTCTAGTCTTTTTTAGGATGTTAATTTTTTTTTCCTCATAAGTATTTTGGAAACTATTGGTACATGAGCCACATTTTTGTCTGTAATTTAGCAATTAATTAAAACACACCTAAAACAGACAAGCTACCCAAAGGAAATATATAGACATCCAAAGGTTGGTGTACATTTATTTTTTATGCAATACCTTCAATGACCTCCCTACAAAGCAAGAGAGTTCATTCAGGGCTTGAGGTGGGATTCAATACTCACAAGAGCAGAGGATCTAGAGAAAGAGGTCATTTTACTTTGTACCAGTTTCCTGCCAGGCTGTTTCCTTATTCTACAACTTGTTATATCATTATGTGTGATGTCCCAAAACACTCCAGAAAACAAAAGATAAGTGTCATCTTTATTTTGGAAGGCACATAGGGATTTCTCCCTATCCATTTTGCAGAGATTTATCCTCCTCTTGGGACACCCTCGCCACTCCTCCAACAATGCCATGTGCAACTGCAGGTTTCAGGAATGACCACATGCATCGGTCTGATAGCAGTTAAGGGGAGGAAAGGGAAGAGGGAAGGTACCTTTCCCTGTTATAGCCAAGACTGTGGGACTCTGGACATAACTGCCTCTTGCACGAAACGCCAGTACCTATCCCACCACATACTGCAGTATCCACTCCACCCTGGGGTTTGCTGGTTGCTGACAAGGCAGGAAGGACACCAAAACCGGTGACTTCAGTGAGCTTTGGGAGCAAAACCAGTTGATGGGTTTGCAAGGCAATGGTCATACACCTTCCATGTAACAGACCATGGGAGGTGGGATGATGGTAGGACACTGGCAGACCAAGAGTGGTCACACCAGCTACAATGAAGTTGCTTCTTAATACAGACATTATAATGTCCCATAGTGACCACCCCAACACTTTGCCCTATCACCAAAGATTAAGACTATGTTGAATACTGGGACCATGGAACACATGCAACATATGGTAGACTCTCCTGCAAATTAAAATGTTAATTTTAATGTATGTGGCAGTTCTCTGAAAGGAAGGTCATACTTGTCATCTCTAGTGCATCAATCAAAATGCGGCTGTGGACAGGGACTTAAGATCAAGGCTTACAAAGATTTACTCTGCTCAGCAGTTGAGCTGCCATGTTATTTTTAGTTTTATGCATTTGTATTCAAGAGCATCCTTCAATGAAAAACAATCAGGTCTAAAACCAGCTACAGTCTAATGGAAATCAAAACAACCAAACCTTGCAACTGAGAACACTGCAAACATTTTAGAAAATTAGCCAATGCTTCTTTACTAGTAAGTGACAGAAAGTAAAAAATACATTCAAAAATAGTTTTGAAAACAATTTCTAAAGCAGGCACACACACAAAAAGAATCATGCTTCTCTGAATAATTTTTTTTCTTAAACCATTAAAAGAACATTAGGTAAGCTAATGCAACAGCTGGCTGCACTACCGCTTCCACAGTATAATCCATTATGGTAAAAGTAGCTTTTTCAGGCATTTTAGTGCAATTTATGCTGTTTACAGGTCTTTTTTGTGCATTCTCCTATAATTTAATGTCAATTGATATCACTCTAACTTATAAAAGCCCCACTAAGTCAAGAAAACTCCACTTAGCAGCAACTTCGTTTCCTTTCAGGGCTAATATCAAAGTAGTTGTTTTGAATACCAAAATGATAAATATCTAACAGAAGCCTGAAGCTATTCTGGTGCTATACAGTTGGTGATGTATAATTGAACATTAAGTAATCCAAGTAATAGAAGTCGTAGATCAGCTGTCTTTCCTCCTTAGACAATTCTTTCAAGTATTGCCTCACTACTTCTGCACTTGTTCTCTCATCAGAGGCATGTCTGTCTTTGAATTTAGGAAACTTCAGCTCTGCTGGAGCACCAACCAGCTGCAAAAAGTAATTGGCATCTTCTTCCAGGGTTTCAAACTTTCCTATAAAATCATAGTTGATGAGGCAGGGATAGCAAAGCTTACTGACTTGCTCCCAATGAATGTCCATTCCTACTGGGCGATGGGAATCTAACAAATATTGGATAAATTCCTTGAACTTAACTCCCGATCCTGTTTTCAATGCCTCTTCATTTGCATTATGTCTATACTTCTTAATTATTGCCTTACCAAATACTGGGTGGTAATAGCTGTTTGGGTGTTCAAATTTATCCCTGAAGGCGGATACCAATCTTTCCATAGGATCACGTACAAATATAGCCTTGGTGTATGTATTCAAGCGTGTGTATATCCCTTTTAGGTCATAACTGTCTAGTTTCCTTAGATGCTTTCCATAGTGCACATCGTCATGGGAGATGTTGTGTACTGAAGTGGCGAGTCCACTGAGCACCATGAGGACTCTTTTCCAATTGGAGCAGCCTGCTTTAGGCACTTCACAGTATAGGACCTTGTGCCTGTCCTCCACGTAAATTCTTGACACCAGGTGCACAAGGTGGGTTTGAAGCTTCTTTCTGCTGTTGTATTTCTTACAGAAGTCATGCAGGAAGTACCTGCGCTTTTCCTGGGTGCTATCCACATCCTTCCATTTGCCATCCTTGACTAACGTCTTGTTTAAAGGGTGTAGTGCAGGAGGTAAATACACCCCTCTGAGCCAGCTGAGAGGTGACCCACTTATCTTCTGCTGGTCAGAGAGTTGGCTCACCAAGGAGGCAGGCACCACACCAAACAGGTCAGCCTTGCCTTGCCAGTGCCTGCTGCCCACGATGGCCATCTCATGTTTACTGAGGTCAGAAGGAGTGCTCCTGCTCCACACTGCTCCTCTCGGCATCACCAGAGCGGGGAATGTGAAATCCTGCAAACAGGGAAAGGATCAGAGCTTAAAACACAGCAACAGCCCACACCATTCACATTGCAACAGCAGCAAGGATGGCAGTGCATACTCCTGATGAAGCCACATTTAGTACTACTACAAAGCCCCTCCTGAACCAATTGATTGATATATCTAATTTAGCAACAAGCTGGGCTAATTACTGAAATAAATGCTTCTGAAGCTTACCTCTTAGTGCACAGTAGGTCTTCCTGCAAAAATAAATAGCTTATACCACACCTTTTAGGAAATCAGAAGAGGTTCACGCAGGGAGGCTGATAGTCCTCATAGGGGTAGCCAGGTGCTTTTCTCAACTGAACACATTTTCCCCCTCGACAGCATTGATTGAGTTGCATGGCTGCTATCAGCTCTCTGCAGCGTGCTGGCACAGAGACAGTAACAGCTGCTGAATCTGTTTCCACCACTGTGACTTGGAGCAGGCCCTGTTCCCCAGTGGTAGGGGACAAACCTAGGGCTCCTAAATAGCTGACAGCAGTGTTTTTGAGCTGGGTGTGGTGACAGATGAAATCCCCACTCCAAAAAGCTCCTATTCCTGCCCTCTGTTTGCAACACAGATGCCTGCACCTGAGCTAGGTTCTTTCACAACTAAGGCAAAATTGTTGCCTTTAGAGCTTATTCCATCTGACTTTTTTAAACATCAACATTAATTACATCAACTAACTAAACGTCAACTAGTGACTCTGCAAAGAATGTGAAAAGATGAGACTATCCTCTCAGACATCTCTTTTAATGTCCCCAGCCAGTGTGCAATCTACAAGCTGCAGAAATGGCAAAGCATGGATCTGTGTTTTGCTGTCAAATTCTTTAGGGTCTTGTATCATGCATGTTGATTGAAGAGTTTCTTGCAGTTTAAGCATTGCAGCTTATTCCTGAGTATATTCTCATGTGTCTGCTAAGGCTTGTAGATTTTTAATCCTGTTAGTAGGAAAGCCTGCTGCATTGGGACATCTATATAGCTATTCTCATCACACTTCTGGAGAGGGGGGTTGCTCATCAACAGGTTTTTAAACATCCCGTTGCAAATACAAGATAGCCAGAATGACACCCATTGGACACACATTCACAGGCTACCTGACTGTTTTTGTAAGTCATGCTTTTTTTGAGAACTACATAAAAAGTCTCTTCTGCCATTTACTGGATTAAACATTTACTGGAAAGTTGATTTGTGGACTGGCAGACTGTCAGTGTTGGATTTGGGGGGGATGGGAAAGTTCATAGGCCGACTCAAATATGTTAAAAATTCAGTGGAATAATGAAAGAAATGGTAATGCATGGAACACAATTTAAATTCCAGCTTGTAATGAAGCCTAAGGAAAAACAAGCAGTTCCAAGAAAAGTTAGCCTGTCTTGCAGTGCAATAATTTCCAATGACATGAAGAAACCTGGGCAATCAAGCTATTCTGTATTGCTGCAAACCACAGATGACCAGGTCTTTGTTATCACTGAACTGAGTAAAATGGTTTTTGTATTGATGAAAGCAAATAAAAGAACAAAGCCATGCAGGACTTATACATCTGTGAGAGAGGGCGTGTGGATGTGGTCAGTTTTTCTAATATAATTTTTTTTTTTTTATTTCTGTTGTCTAACATTTCATTCTTTAAAAGAAATGAAACACAGATTTGCGTGTTTCGAAACAGATATTTATCCCTTCTGCCCTAGGATGGAAAGAATTCAGAAACATAGTTAGTGTGTAGTAACAGCATGTAGCAATAGTAGTAAAATGGGATAACTATGAGCCTAATGGGCATTTCAGCATCACAGTGAATGACGACTTACAAGTGCTACTGCAGAACCAAAGACTTACAAATAAATTAAATGCTTTGACCTTAAAAGGAAAACCTGACACTTAAAAAAGTGAAAATGAAAAATATGAGATACACAGAAACCAATCACACAATACCAGGCTTAACAGGAGTAGGAATAAAGTTAGACTACAATGCTAAAGTAATCAAGCATTGTAAACTCATTGGTGCTGCTCTGAGGAATTTTATAATTCAGAAGATAGTCTCCAGTGATATGTGACCGTACTGGTGTTCCTCAGTGAAGAGAAAATTAAAGGGGGGGGGGGGGCAGTAGTACCTCATGACTTCCTATGATATGCAATCTGAATTTAGCTGTCTACTTCAAGAGACTTCAGTGTAAAGACGCTTGAACCAGCTGAATTTCAAGCCAAAGCCAATAAGATGGCTAGAATGATTAAGGATTTGGAGCATCTCTCATATGAGGAAAGGCTGAGGGAGCTGGGCCTGTTCACCCTAGAGAAGAGAAAGTTAAGGGGGGCATCTGTTCAGTATATGTATGTACCTGAAGGGAGGGTGTCAGGAGGATGGAGACAGACTCTTCTCAGTGGTGGCATGCGATAGGACAAAAGGCAACAGGTATAAACTAAAAGACGAGTTCCACTTGATAAGAAAGACCTTTACTGTGAAGGCGATGAGCACTGGAATAGGCGGCCCAGACAGGATGTGGAGTACCTTTCACTGGAGATATTCAAGAGCCGTCTAGACACAATCCTGAGTAATGTGCTCTAGGTGACCCTGCTTGAGCACGGAGGTTGGACTAGATGACCTCCAGTGGTCCCTTCCAACCTCAACAATTCTGTGATTCTGTGTTTCTGTTAAATAAGCCTTACATTTCAGAGGAAATTTCAGCATGCTGAATTCAGCCTGCCATCTTGAACTAGTGGAAGATGCCTTGATTCCACCAGCTCAGGAGGGAAAAGGACAGACTGAAAGGTGTGTGGTCTTGATTTTGTTTCATTTCAGTCTGCCTGGGATGCAGGACCAACCTCAGGGAATAGCCCAAGGAGATGCCAGAAGAAGACTGCATTTCAGTCTCAGGAACTGTGAATTCAGCTGTAGGAAGTACTACTGAAGGATTTTTCATGGGATTAAAGACTTCAGAAGGATGAGTAGAACTATTCAGAGAAATCTCAGGTAATACCCTAAAGGAACGACATATGCACAATGGGAATCACTTGAAAGGGGCTTCCTCCAAGTGAGATGAGGCAAAAGAAGAAAGAATCTATCAGGGAAAAAAAGAAGACCCAATCTGAAGGGGGTGAGGGGAAGGAGACCAGGGGATAAACAATGACACGAGAAGTTCTGAAGACAAAAAAAATTATTTCAATATGTAAAATACCATTAGTTGCTTCCCCTCTCCATTTCCCCTTCTCAATGAGACACATATCCCATGGTGAACACAACAGTATTGGTTACTAAATGTTATTGAAAGTTCCACAACGGATGGTGTCCTTGCAGTAAATGCTGGCTGTAACTTTATCTAAGAATGGGAATGGGTAGTGGTTATTTTCAAAGGCATAAATGGCTGTTACATTGCCATGGAAGTTTTCCAACTCAAGATAAAAAAAAGAAAGAGAACAAACCTTCCTATGCACTTGCCTAAGTAACTAGGCTAATAGCTAGTCAAGATGCAATGAAAGATGGGATGAATCAAGCTTTATTTCTTTATGAGAAATATTTAACTAGAAAGGGGTTTTTTGGAAACTAACAAATTGTTGAATAGATAGTGCCATATTTCTTAAGCAAAACTGCTTTACAGTCTGGTATATTTAGCTGCTAGTACTCTTAATGTGCATGAGACAGCTGAAAGCCACACATTAAAAGGATTTAAATGTTTTTGTGATAGTAGGCTTACACAAAGTAAGGCGCCTTCTTTGGCTTCCTCTTGATGCCACTGACCTTTCAATGACCATTTTATGATACTTTAAAGATCTGAAAAGCTCCATGTTACATTTATTTTATTTATTTATTTATTTTTTACAGTAAGAACAGGAAAAGAAACTTGCAAAAGCAGCAAACATTTTTCTAAAAACCCTTGTCCATTGTAGCAGTGTTCATAATAGTCCATCCCACAAGCTGCTGGGCACCATTATTTTGGAAAACACATGAACATACACCAACAACAGGCAGCATGCAGGTAAAACCTATTGGTCACTAGGTCTGAACCCAGATCTTCCCATGCAAACAGTCCTTACCAAACGCTTTGAGCCAAGTGTCCAAGTGCAGGGATGGCCATTCATGGCTTTCCAAAGAGCTGCTAAGTTTGGGAACCTGCTGCCTGGCATGGGAGATGAACTCCATGGTCACCTTGGACAGATGCAGGGCTGTTCTTGAGACATGCTGTCAACCTCTGCAGCAGGTTGTGTACATTTTATCTGAGAATTAAAACCCAGCAAGGTGTTGCACCTTTGCCAGTATTTATGCAAAGTGCTCGGTTCTCCGTTTGCATTAAAACATTTTAAAAAGTTAAGAAATGGCTGTGAATCAAATTTAGAAAAGTATGTACATCGTCTCTTTCTCTTTGTAGCTAGGCAGGAACTGAAGGCATTTAAAAATTAGCTCAAGTACAAGGGAAAAAGAATTTAACAGAGTGTTAGCATGGTATTTGGCTAATGGCAGGCAACTCTGAAGCTGCTGAAACAAAAGGCATTTTTGAGTCATTAATAGGTTTATGGATTTTATTTTTTTTTTTGGACATTTTTATTGCTGAGGATTCCCTGCTCCTCCCCATTCACAAAAGGATTTCTCCTCACTGTAAAAACAAGTAGCCAATACCTTCTTTTACACACACTGAAGCTGTCCTTTCCTTTAATACCTTCACAAGCCACTGGGGTAGAAGAGATTGACTACTGCCAAGAATGGTTAAGACTCATCCAATTATGCTTTGTGATGGTTTTACAATGCACGGGTGGGATCTCATCTAGACAGTTTGCAATTACAGCAACCTACCATGCAAAAAGATAATGATGTATTGGAAAGGATGATATTCCAGGGCTGATTTACAAAGATTTAATGGCCTGCAGTGCAGAAGGTTGTGTGCTTCCTAAATGCTTTAGTGCTGGATCTACATTTTTACTAACAAGGACAATAAAATTAAGTGAGCCCAACAGAAAATGTAGGACAAAAATAGTGGAGGAAAGCAATATTCTGTTTTATTCTGCT